TGACCCAAGCGTGGCCCTGCCGCCAATGGCACTCGTCGGCGTACAAGGCGCGTGGGGGCTCGTCTTCACGACGTTTCTGGCGTACCCGATCGCGTACCTCGTGCCGGGCGATGACGCCGGGTCCTACGAGCGCCTTGATGCCACCTTCCAAGTGCTCGCGACGTCGAGATCGATCCAGTGGCTCGTCCTTGCGCAGCTCGTCGCGCTTTTGCTCATGAACATCTTTCGCATGCTCGTGCTCTTTCAGCTCGATGCGCTCTGGGTCTCGATCATGAACAACTTTCGGACAGGTGGCGTGTGGGCCGTGAACCTCGTCTTGTACCATGCCATCACCCACGGTGCATTTGGCGAGGTGTGGACGCACTGGAGCTACCTCCAGCTCGTTGGGATGCTTGTACTCTTTGTGGGCACGGCCGTCCATGACGGCCAGTTCCACAATCAGGCCGCCGTCGTTCAAAAGTCGAGTGTTGAGACGGTGCCAATGACGCCGTGTGAACACACCGCTCCATTTGCTCTTTTTCCCGAGAAAATTGTCGTGTAGAACATGTTAGCACGCCACCTATCAAATTCAATACTAGTAATCTACTAGTAATGAATCTGTGTACACATGTAAATACGACCCTCCAGGTGGAAGGTCATCACATACGGGCATTTTCAAGCTCATGCATACTGGTAATGCAGGCTGCAATATGCATGAGCATAAAATGAACAAACCTGTAATTCTAGAAATCAAAAATAGAAACTTGATGAGTTGCAAAAAGTAAGCAGTGCATGAAAGCCCTAATGGTCTAGTGGTATGATTCCTGCTTTGGGTGCAGGAGGTCCCGGTTTCGATCACCGGTTGGGGCCTTTTTGTATATTTTTATCTTGTGCACCTATTTAATTGCGTCAGACCACAGCGTTGGGAGCTTTGATGTGGGTACTACTGGTAGTATGGTTGCACACCCCACTGGGGTACTAGTACACCAAGGGTATATTATATACCCTTGAGTACACTTTTCGTGGTCCCTTCTCAATACAATGGACAAGACCTATTGTCATACTCTCACTTTGCCGTCGACGTCTTCGTAGTAGATTGTGTAATATTAGTAGATGGGATTTGTGCAGAAGTGAAAGCGTGATAGCAGATGCCGGCATGGTACTGGTTTCAGTCACAAGCAGTCACCCTAAGCTTAGCGGGGCTAAACAAACGCATTGACAACTACGAGGACACTACAGTAACGCTAATGCCACATTACCGGTATCGTGGTGCTGCGGTCGTGCTGCGGTGCGACCATGCGGCGCGACGCCAATCCCAAAAAAATACGGACTCAATCACTGTGCTCAACTTGCGCCACGCTCGCCCAGCACTCCAGTGACTATCTGCAGGCTTGTACATGTGATAGCCATCATTTCTTCTCAAAGAATAGACACAGCTACAGACATGCACCAAACCGTGCTGGCTGCGTCGATTTGAATAGGTTGAGTTGTTCATACCCAAACCTTGTTGATGACAAGTGCTAGCTCGCCACAATTAAACGCGTAAGAGATATTAACGCCCTACTAAGCCAAGGTGTAGCTAGCACGCGGGATGGGAGGCTCTCATGTTAGCCTTGATCCTGGTCAAGGTCGAGCGGATGGGGCCGCTTCTAAAAGTCGAAGAAGTTTTCTGCGCAAGGCCGAGCGATCCAGAACCAAGATCTAGAGGCATATAGCCTTGGATCTATGATCCAAGGCGCAAAGCAAGCGTGCTCAAGCCATTTCCAAATTGGTAGTGTCAATCAATAGCTAACCCGCCTCCCCCACCACTGGCATGGTGGACACCTATACGGTTGTTGCACCATGTAGTTTGGTCTTGCTTGAAGAAGAGACTGATGGAAATACATTGGTGCTCGAGTGTGACGGGCTCGTTCTGCTACATTGCTGCACCTCGTACTTCCGAGACCCAGTCTGTGTTGGTGCTGGTGCTACTACCCCATACCATGCCCTGGTCTGCGTTGCAACATCTTCTTTATGTGTCGCTCAAAAGCACGAGGCGGCGACGTACCTCTAGAAACACTGAGCTCTTCGTGTTACCAACCACCTTTATAATACCCCATCAATAGTTCACAACGCAGTTTACACATAACAAAACGTAATAACAAATCGTGTCAGGGGGCCGCAGTCGTGCGTCTTGTGGCTGTTGGGCACTTGATAGATGTTCGGACACGTCGCGTTCGCACAGTAGGCGCTCACACATGATGGCTCGACGACACCAAAAACCTGGACGCTCACGGGGACATTGAAAGACGAGTGCGTCCCGGGAGCGCACCGGTCCCAGCTCGACCCACAAGCAACGGGCACCACACTAAGGTCGTACCAGACGCGGGCTCCATCCCAGTTGAACTCAAACACTAGACAGTTACCATGAGCGACGAGGCACGGATTAAGCCACGGAGGACGTACACGTGGCGTCGACGGACGCGCCGAGACGGGCCATCGCCGACGTCCCAAAGTCCGAAAACTTGAAATCGATCGATGCGCCGTACGGTAGCGGCGCTACGTGGTCGGGCACATTGAGCCAGCGCCAGTACAGCGCGTTCTGCGCCGTGCCGTTGCAGTAGTTGATAAAGCGGTACGTTCCAGGCGGCTGCGCCGTCCGCGCTTCGGCGCGACTCGTGCTTGGCGTCGGT